GTCCTCGCCTTCGACCACTGTCCAGCACACAATGTACCTGACCCCTACGGCCCCTCCCACAGGTGGTGAGCCCATGGGAAGGGGGACCCACATCCCGTCTTCGGGCTGTGCCCAACCGGGCTCCATGGGTGAAAGCCCGGCCACCAGGCGCTCGCCAACGTGCCCCACCTCCAGACCTGGCTCTAGAGTGGGGCCCCGGTGACCCACGTCTGGGCGAGGGAACACTGAATCCATTTATTGTGTTCATCATAGGGGTCTGTGAGCTGCACTTTGTCTGATCCCTCACCTAGGACCTGTTTACTTTAGGTGATCCTACTGGGGGCATGAAGCCCCTGACAACATAGCTCCTAGGATCACTGGGACACTCAAACCTTTCCACCACGATAAGGTGGCAGCCCAGGGAGAGTTTTTGTGTTGTTTATTTCAGTCTTGTTGTTTGTGTTTACTGTTTACCATTGTCAGTATTTTGTTTTTCACATCAGAAACAGAAAATCCAACATGTGAAACACACAGACAAACCATGGCTTGAAGGCCAGTTGTGGCCCTGGACCGAGTCAGTCCAGTCCTTAAAACCAAAACAAGTTCAAATCATTTGTTGAGGGGGACAGACAGGGCTCTGTCCATCACACTGGGGACAGCATGGACAGGTCTCTGTCCACCAGCTTCTGTTCTTCCAACACTAAAGAGCTGTCACTTTAGAGCCACCTGGAGGAAACATGTTTGATTTATCCTGAATGGAAGTCATAAACTTCCTGCTTCAGACTGTTTGTTCCACAGGTGGGACGTCGTCATGGATCAGGCCAATAAACTTCTGGTTTTGTTTCTTTTAATTAAATTCTATTCAAGTTTAAATTCAGATTCCTTAGCTGCTAACAGTACTGCTAGCTTTTAGCAGCTAACTGCGAACAGAGAAGCTGGCCATTAGCGCTTAGCTGCTAAAAGTACTGCTAGCTGTTAGCAGCTAACTGCGAACAGAGAAGCTGNTTAGCAGCTAACTGCGAACAGAGAAGCTGGCCATTAGCGCTTAGCTGCTAAAAGTACTGCTAGCTGTTAGCAGCTAACTGCGAACAGAGAAGCTGGCCATTAGCACTTAGCTGCTAACAGTACTGCTAGCTGTTAGCAGCTAACTGCTAACAGAGAAGCTGGCCATTAGCAGCTAACTCCTAACAGTACAGCTGGCCATTAGCAGTTAGCTGCTAACAGTACAGCAAGCTGTTAGCATCCTTTTGCTATCTTTTAGCAGTGAAACAAAGAGTATCCTTCAAAGTAAAACAGTTTTTAAGTTTGGTAAGACTGGCTGTTTATGGAAACCGATAGCTACTGCTAATGCTAATAGCTTCTAGCAGCTAGAGAAGTGAATTTTGTCTGCAGCTTCTTTGGGTG